ATCCACTCACTTCTCCAAAGAGCAAGCCCCAGGAACTGGCTTGAGAAGACCTGCAGTGAGTCCCAGGGCTGCTCTGAAAGCATCTGGCAGAGCTCCTCTGTTCCTGTGTGCCAGAGTGTGCACAAAGCTCCAAAGGAGCTGGGTGTGTATGGTGTCCCCGGAATTCTGAGCCATTTGTTATAGTGCCCGATAGCCTCCTTAGGGTGTGACATTCACTTGTGACTACACCTGGTGCCGCTTTCCTATTGTTAGCCCTTTATTCCCAGGTATGCCTTTGGCCAATGCTTTGTTGGTGGCAGTTTCTGGGAAGCAAATCGAGCCCTGGTTGGCCAATGCCCAAGCTGGGCAAAGCCAGGGCAGCTCTGCCTGCCGTCAGCTGTGCAAGGGGCTGCCTTTCACTCCTAGCTATGCACCCTCCCAGGCTCCTGGCCAGCATCCAATCCAGATAAGAAATGCCTGAAAATTGTTGCTGTTAGCCAGCTATTCTGTGACCTGCATGAAAAGAGTGAAATGACCTCGGGACTAGTCTCGGCACACAGCCGTCTGCCCACAAACCGTGGCAGCCGAAAAGCCTCGGTACTCAGACCAAAGGCTGGCAGGACAAGTCTTTTCTTGGCGGCTTCTCCTCACGGATGGGAGGGGAGGCAGCAACAAGCTGATTCGCAGGAGCTCCCTCGCTGCCTGCTGTCCCTAACAAGATCTTTATGAGGTGTTAGTGTAAATTGAGTTGTTTTACATTGAAACCAATCGTGGGCTGTTTTCTGCACAATGATCTGTGGCAAAGAGGGTATTTACTGGTGATAACTTGTGGTGGTAGGAGCAGGAGAGAGCCCTTTTCCCCATGACTCTTATCTCCAAATGTTCTCTTTTCTGTGGTGCTGGGCTCTGCTGAAGCCACTCGCCCTTCAAGGAGTTCCAGCAATGCCATTCTGCCATGGGGATGCTGGAGGCCGTCCTCCTGCCTGCTTCCCAGGTCTTCCTGTGCTGTACAAGCCTTCCAGCAGGCTGCACAGGCCCTTCCTTCAAAATTATTTTCAGTAGTATGTGGAGAAATTTGGAAGGAGCCATGGAACTGAAGCTGAGGTTGCCCATGATGGACAGCATCATCCTTTAAACATCACCAGGCCATAATGCACAGGATTATTTTTACCATGTACTAGGCTTTAAGTGCTTTGGGTAACAAGAAAAGCTTCAGTCCAAATAACAAAAGAATGCCAAGGAGGGGACTGCGGTTGAAAGTGGAAGGGTTCTTTCTGTGTGGGGATGGGGGGCAGCTAATCTTGACACCATCCTGCAACTTGTTTCTGCTTTATTTGCCGTGTCTGTGGCCTGTGAAATGCTGCTCGGGAAAATGGGAACCCATCGGTGGATGGAGATGTGGAAGGTTTACAGAAGTGTGCTTTGTATCTGTACATTGACAAGTGTGTACCCCCTGGAGCCCCCAGCTGTTTTTTTTTTTTCTTTCTTAATTCTTAGAATTCCTCAGCATATCTTCTTCTTTCTGAATCTGACTAAATTACTCTCCTGCAGCCCTGTACCTTAGGGCTGGGGTTTTGTCTTGCTGGGAGCTGGGGTTTCCATTTTAGGCACTGAGTTTCTAGTTGTACATCTAAAGAGAAATGATGTTCTCATCAGAGGCATTCCCCATCCCTGCCACAAGCATTTCTTGTAGCAGTTTAGGCAGGCACCCAGGCTTTCTGGAATCCCTCAGGGGAGCTCCTGGTTGATGGCAGCTAACCCAGACACTGAGGGTCCCATCATCAAGTGTAGCTGGCTCCTCCCAGCAGGGGAAGTACCTGGCTGAGAGACAGGTCTGCTGTTACTCTGCCTGCTGACAGGTGACTCTCATGGTCAGAGGGCTTTCATCTCCAAGTCTTTGAACTGGCAGGTATTTTGCATAAATGGAGTAGAGTTCTAGGGGTGAGTTTTTAGGGTCAGTAGTCTTCTCAACAAGGTCCAAGCAGTCTTCAGGTAGTGCTGAAGATGAGTGAGCTGAAGGTACCCGCTGCAACTGCCACAGAACCTACCTTGCATCCTCCCAAATGCTTCCTTTAAAGGGCACAGTGATTCAGTGCTCTTCTCTCTGGTGTAGCAGAGCTCTCTTCAGCAGATAAGAATCTGTCACCATGACCATGGCTGGGGAGAGGAGTCCCTCTGTCCATCCCATGTTTCTAAAGCACACATACATCCTTTTTCTTGCACCTTCTTCCCCCTCAACTGTTTGGAAGACTCATGACCACTGTGGGGTTTTTAAAATAAAATTGTACCTTCCTGATTTCCCTCTAGCTCTGACTGACAGCACTGAGGTAATTTGTGATGCTGACTAAGCTCTTTTTCCCCCTAATATTAGTATTGCTTAAGTGAAAATTGCTTACAGCTGATTTCTTGCCAATAGTGTTACAGTTGATACTGCTTCAAAGTTGCTGCAATGGTATCTTGGGTGATCAGATGAACATCGTAACAATGCTGGGGGTTACTTGACTGAGAGCCAAATACTGCTTTTGGAAATACTAAAATGATCAGTGCACCTAAGGAAGGAAAACAAACACCCTGCCCAGCAGTAGTAACATGCTTTAAACAAGTGCATTCTGCAATAATGGGACACTTGTGCAGACCAGTGCAGCAGTCCCGATGTCTAAACTGCTTGGAAAAGATTGATGTTGGTTTAGGCTGAGAATAAATATGTGGGATTCTATATGTTTGGCTAATTTTTTGGAGGTCACCTGTGAGGATGAAGCCATTACACTGTCTCTGGGGAAAGGTACCACATTACTCCCCCTTCCACCAGCCCTCCCTGTTGCTGCCAAGCACAGCCCAGGCCAGCTCACAGCTCTTGCTCCTACCTGGGATACTGTTGAAGAGCCACAAAGAGTATAAAACCTTTGCAAGACATTTATTAGAGCACTTGAATTCCCTGTGCCTTTCAAAGGAACTTCATTAGAGCAACTTTTATTAGGGAATGAACTTGAAGCACAGTTCAACAGCTATTGCTCTTGATTGCAGGCTTCTAAATGCTGCTTGCTCTTAGAGCCTTCACTTTCGCATGGCTTTTTTGGAGTTTTTTTTCCCCTTCTTCAAATGGAATCATGTATGTGGAATACTCGTACAGATCTGGACTACAGAGCATCCATTGGAATTACTGAATCTGGAATTGCCGAGTGACACTCCTGAAAAATTTTACCTTCCCAGTACTAAGGCAGCAGAGATTATACACAGGGTCCCTGTAAAGTAGGTCAATTTTAATAACCATTTCTGCTTTGTGTTCATTCAGCATATTCTACATGCCAGCCCGTTTTGCTCCATTCAACTCCTAATATTCACTGGAGCTCTCTAAGGGAATTAATAGTCTCTGCCATAGTTTTTCATGCCATCAGCCCCGTGTTTTATTTCACAGCATTCTTACCCACACAGTTTTTACCTCTGGCTCACCTCCCCTGAAGCAGGTCTTCAGTATGAGCCCAAAAGTAATGGACAGAGCTTATGAGTCTGCCTGTAGTTTCCAACGAGTGATTCACATTTGCTTATTGTCTTTAGATAAAGACTCTGAACATGCAGCTCAAGTTAGAGTAGGACAAGGTGGGACACTGTGGTTATGGATGGTTTTTAAAGGACAACACAGTTCTCAGAGGTGCTGCTCCCCTGAATAAAGGCACCCCAACCCACCTCCTGAGAGCTGCTGCCAGGACAAACTTCAGATACCTGCTTCCTCTTTACCTTCCCATGAGTCTCCCAGCAGCCCAGGCAGGGGCAACACAGCCTCCTGCAGCTGCGCTTTCTGCATGCTCAGGACAGGGGTTAACAGCACCGAACCTGCCTTGTCTCCTACGCACATCCGCAGCTCCCCAGCAGGACCTGCTCCAAGCGCTGAATTTATAAAACTTGAGTGGGGGGAAAAAAGTAAGCCTGGAGATTATGCTATGCTGCTCCTTACTCCCTTCTGCACATGAAACCTGGTTCAGGGAGAACTGCCTCTCTGCTGTACTGCTCCTTACTCCCCTCTCCCACCCCTTCAGGCCACAGTTAAGTCACCTTGGGCAATTCTGGCAAATACACACATCTTACAGCCCGGAAGCCATTTATAAATAGATTTTTATTTATAAAGTCAATTTACATAAAATATGATACTCTCTTAAAAACTGCATATGTACAACATAAGAAATCCTAGCAAGTGCATACAAAAATGCCTTCAATACATTTTTTTTTTAAACTTCAGTTTTCAGAGAGGTGGACCTTCACACCAGGCAAACTCAGACACCACGTTAAAACACAACATAAGTTTACAGTCTTCTACCAAAGTGTTTGGAGAGAATAATTAAAAAAAAACCCAAACAAACATCTTTGCATCTATAACGTGTATGTTCCCAAAACATTCCAGCTGGTAGTGTTCAAGAACAAGTGGATAGGACATGCTAAAAATAGAACCACCTCATCCCTTTTCTCTAAGGTTTGTTGTACAAAAATAAGTCTTCATACACCAGTGTCCCTATAGGCAGTTCAAGTTACATATAAAATAGAATCTGACATGATAAAAAATTCCCTCCCCCTCCAGAAATAAGGAAGCATCAAGTGTTTCTAATGCCTTTTTTTTTTTTTTTCCCTTTTCCACCCCTCCAAAGCAACACCAGACAGCAGCGGCGGGGGAAAGCAGCTTCGCTCGGGCATCCTCTCCGTGGGTCGGCAGCTCCCGGGGGGCAGGCGGAGCCGCTGTCGCCGCGCAAGGAGCGGGACCCCGCAGTCAACTACCCCATTGCACTTTCCACAACCAGAAGACGACGGCTGAACCCGGCGAGAAAAGCAGCCAGCGGGGCCAGGCCGGGGTGGAGGTCGGTACTTTCGGGGAATGATGCTGCCGCCGAGACCGCGGGCGCCGATGTGCTGCGGGCTGAGCGCGGCTGCGGAGAGACGTGAGGAGAGCCCCGGTGGGTTCGTACCGCGCTGCCCCGAGCGCCGGGGGAGGAAGCGGGGCCCCGTCCCTCCGCTGCCCCTCACCTCCCGCCGCGTCAGTAGCTCCCCAGCCAGCTGGTGAAGTCCAGCAGCTCCCGCTCCTCGGGGCTGAGCGCCGCGTCGTAGCCGCTCTCCTCGGAGGAGCACGGCGAGCCGGGCGCGGAGGAGGCGAAGGAGGGAGAAGCGGAGGAGTAGCCGCCGCCGCCGCCAACTTCCCCGACGGCCACCCGCCCGCGGCCGTCGGGGAAAGAGGCGGCGGCGTCGTGCTCGTCGAGGAGCCGCTGCAGGGCGCGGATGTACTCGACGGCGGAGCGGAGGGTCTCCACCTTGCTCATCTTCTTGCTGGCGGCGCCGTGCGGGACGTGCTGGCGGAGGGCGGCGAAGCCCAGGTTGACGAGCCGCACGCGGTTGCGCTCCCGCTCGTTCCGACGGGCCACGGCGGCCGCCGCCGCCGCCCCGGTGCCCGGCAGGGCGGCGAAGGCCAGGCGGCGCTTGCAGCGCAGCAGCTCGGGGGAGGCGGGCCGCCGGCGGCAGCGGGGCGCAGCGGGGGGCAGCGGCGGCAGAGCCCCGCCGTTCATCGCCGGGCGGCCACGGTGGCGGCGGGCACGGGAAAAAAAACCCAAAACCCAAAAAAAACCAACAAAACAAACCAACAACCAAAACTTTTAAAATAAAAAAATTCAAAACTAAATTTAAAGCGAGACAAAGGAGGCGGGGGTGGGCAGCGCGGGGCAGTTCACCCCCATGCCCGTGCTCTCCCGCCGCCGCTCCGCGCCTCTGCGGCGCGTCCCGCTGCCGGCCGGCCCCTTATCAACGCGCCGCCGCCGCCGCCGCCGCTCGCCCCGCTCCTATTGACTTCCCATTGTGGAGCTTCGCAACGCCCCTGCCCTGGCAGTTTTTAACATTTTATTTTTATTTAGTTTTTTATTATTACTCAAGGGTGGGGCCGCACTCTCGCCCCGCCTCTCCCGCACCTCACGGCGGGCGCTCTGGAGCAGCCGGCAGTCCCCGCTGCCCCAGGTGAGGTGGAGGCCCCGGGTCCTGCCCCTTCAGGTGTGCCACCAGCCCGGCCCCTGCCCGCACCGGGCACCCGGTGCCGCTGTGCGGAAGGGGTGGCCCGGCAGCTGCTGCCAGGGCTTTCCCTGCGGAGCGCGGAGTGCCCGCACCTGGCCGCCGGTCGGTGCTTGCCTGACAGAGAGACGGGACACACCGGGGCTCTGCTTTGGTACATCCGCCAAAAATGCATAATAACAAATATTTGTAGTAATAGCGTGGGGTCGTCTTGCCAATGCCGTTCTCCACAGACCAGCTTTTTGGGCTTCAATGGGAGTTTCAAGGATAAAGGCATGGAGGCAAGAAGGAAAATGAAAAGCTCTTGTAGCTCGGGGGTTGCAGCCCCGCTTCCCTCTGCCATGCCAAGCAATCCTCCTTGGCTCTCCATCAAGCAAGGCTTTCTTCCAGCTCCGGTGGGAAGAGCAGCTGGGTAAGGTGCATTCTGATAGCTGGGAGGACAAAGGAGCTTCCGTCCTGGGAACTTGTGGGAAGAAATAACTTACATGGTGTTTTGCTAAATAAACAAGATGGATGGAGGGGGAGCTACATGAACCCACTGCCCTGGGGCTGTGTTCACTCTCAGCTTCAGCACAGCTTCAGGATGTGCTGTCTTCAGGGCTTTGCTCCCACCTAGCCTTACAAAAAAAAAAAAAAAAAAAGAAAAAATAAAAATCCAGTGGTGTGAGGCAGTTCAGTTACAGGGCTTCACTTTTTAGGGGCGAACATAACCCAGTGTCAGGAAAATGCTCCAAGCTGGTGTCTTTTGAGACCAGCTTGGTTGTGGGGATGTGTCATCACATGGACAGGTGCCAGCAAGGCTCTGCAGCACGATTTGGATATCAAAGGATCTGTATTCCCCTGGCTGCCCTGAACCACACTGCTGCTGGTGCTCAAGTGTATCTAAGCCAAAAATGGTAGTTCAAAGAGCTATCCATGATTCCTTGATGTAACACAGAGGGATCTTTTTTCGTACCTGTGTGGGGTATTTAGGGAGCAGCAAGGCTCCGTTATGTTGAAAGAGAAATATTTTCCCTGGGGATTGGTTGTAATGGCAGTGGCTTGAAGGAACTAACCCCACTGCAGTGTCACAGGCAGCCGAGCTGAAATTCCTGACAGTAAGGATCCTGTGAGCGCTTTGATTTTCTGGTAGTCAAACACTCAGGAGCCTTAGCACCAAATTCTGAGACATTCTTGGCTGTGCTGTAGACCTGGGGGCAAAGCAATGAGCGGCCCTACAGCTTCTCTGAAGGACTTGACCCGGGAGGAGCAGCTCATGGCATGCAGCGCAGGCAGGAGCGTTTTTCCTGGTGGATTCCCAGCAGTGCAGGGGAGCTGCCTGTGCATTGCTGGGAGTGCACAGGTTGCTTGCTCAGCTCAGGCTATGTCAGGCACTTGTCTCCAGCATCTGCAGAAGTGCCCTGGCTGGAGCAAGGGGCTTCCCTTGCGCTCGCTGGCAGCTTAGGAGCACTACTTCAGTGGAGTAATAATGATGTTCTTTTATTACCTCGTCTCTAATTTCTGCTGAAAAGCTTTCACACAGGAAAGGGGAAGCTACTGCCCTTGAAACTTTTCAAGAGAAAGCCTTCTGTATTGAAGTGCCACACTCAAGAGTAATAACTGGATTTTTATCACACAAAAATAGCTACAGGGAATTTTTTTCATTAATAACGCACACCAGTAAACCCAGTCTCAAGGGAGAGCATGCAGCCTTCTGCCACAGAGATTCTACACTTAGCTCAGGGATGGGCTTGATTTGTCCAAACTGGCTTCACGGCTGCTGATGTTTCCAGCCAGATGTGGCCATCGGATCTGGGTCTGAGCACAGCACACAGCAAGTGCTTATGCTTTCCTAGCAGTGCAGCTGGCTTCCCAACAGTCTGCAGGAAGGTAGGTGGGTAGGTACATCTTGTACTCAGAAAATGCAATCTCCTTTGAAATCTCTTTATAAAGTTAATGACTATGTAAGGATCCCGTAGAACAAGACATCATTAAACACTGTCTGTGTTCACAATCAACTTCCTGATCATAATCTGAGGAGAGAGCATCCAGCAATGTGCTACCCATCCCCAGAGAGTGGGGAGAAGAAATTCTCCTCTCCTGGAGCAGGTAAGGCAAAATGCTAACTGCATGGTTGGTGTGGACACCTTTTAGTTCCATGTGGCTTCAGCCAGTGTGCTGTAAGGTGCCAAACGATGCTCAGGGAGAAGGGAAAAGGCCGCTGGAAAGGGCCTCTACACTACATGTTAGTTCTTGCACCTGCCAAAGGTGAGAGCAAAGTGCTGCCCCTGGCTTGGCACATGTGTCAGCAGGAAGGCTGCAGGTGGGGTGCTGGCTCAGTCCTGGTGCCACCCATGCATTACACGCAGCTGGCATGAGATTTTTAGGGTATTTTACCAAAACTTTGAGGACTTCAGTGGAAAGCAATGGAGGTCCAGTTGCAATAAAGCTTGAGAGGGTGAATGTGAGAAATAAAGGATGATGGGCAGTTAAGCAGCCCCGTTCTTGGTGAGCCCATTTAGCAGGCTGGGCTGTGCTCACACTGGTTCTGCCAGGAGCAGGGCTACATGGGGCAGGGCTCGCATTGTCTCTTCAGGTCTGTCACCTGCACAGCTGGCTCCTGGGCAGTTATCGTTTGCAATTAGATAGCATGTGAAAAAGGAAAAATAATTTAACTTGACCAGAGCACTGTGCTTTAGAGCTACGAGTATGGTTCTTTCTGTGGAGAAAGAAGTTCATTTGAGTTTATTCTTTGAAGGGAGCTCCCTGTCTCCAGCTTATGCTCTTTTCCAATGTAATCTTTCTCTGGCTTGATGGACTATTTTTAATAACTCTTCTGACACTTTATGTGCTCACCTATAATAATTTCAAATTGCCTTGGAATCACGAGAGAATTTCTGAGACACATTTTGAAAATAATAAGTAAAGAAGTGCTTTGGAAATATTATGATTTCTCTCTGGTTTTGTGTCTTCCAAGGCAGTCTCCAGCCAGCCTTGTTTCTATTCACAGTGGAGTTGTATGGTGCATCTGAAGCTTGGCAAAGCCCAGCCCCCCCCCCCCCTTTCCTCCTCTCTTTCCTTTCTTGAAAAGAGATGGCCCCGGGTTTAAAAGTTGATTTTTAGCTTTGATTGTGTGTATGTGCTATATGAATGCTAAGCAGCCTTTACAATGCATCCTTGTGATGTGCCCGGGAAGGCAGAGGCAGGCTGTGAGGTCTGCCTGGCCTCCCATCATCCCTACGGCTGCGGCGCGGTTTGATATGGACATGTTTTATTTACGAGCGAGCTTTAGGGTGAACCCAGCCGTGTTACGGGCAGTAGCTGAGGGACCGAATGGGCTGAGACACTGACACTTGTAAATCTGACACATTTGGAGCTGCTTTCTGCTGTGGAGGAGAGGTGTTATCCCCAGTGGTGCTGTGGGCTGGAAAAGGAGGAGGCTTCTGAGAGGCAGCAGAGACCTGCACAGGTGTGTCCTGCCTGGATGATGGGTGTAGTTTTGGCTCCTGGGTGACATCCTTCTTCTTGCTTCCAGCCCATCCTTTCTCAGATGAATAGCAGTGCCCCAAAGCGAAGGGGGAAGTTTCTCTTCCCTGCTGCATTGACAGAGTTCAAGCAGCTGAGACTGGGGTGCTGCTGTTCCATCACTGGTGACTGCACTTCATGGAGTGAGAGCCAGAGTGGATGTCAAGAAAGCATCAGTACGAATTCAGCCTCTTCTTCTCCATTTGTGTTTAGTGTCCCAAGTTCATCCCATGAAGCATTAACACATGAAATTCCCAGCTCTTTCAGAACATCTCTCTGACAGAGTGCGCATCGTTTCCCTCCAGCTCAGAAGAGGGTTGGGAGTTTATGGCTTTGAAAAAAAAAAATGATCTGGCTTTGTTCCCTTTTTAAAACCAACCCTTCCCTCTGGATGAGATGGCAACATCCCTCTGAGACCCATGCAGCTGGGGATGAGGTTTTTTGTAACAGAAATCTGCAAGCTGCCACAAGGCTAGAAAGAGAGCACCTGTGCTCCCTGGGGTATTTTCAGACTCACTACTATCTTTCCATGCTCCAGGTGATAACCAGAGATAAGGTTATCAGACAGGAGCTGTGGTCACCTGTGCTTTTTGCACTGCTTTTGGGAGTGATAAGTTGGGTTCTTGTAAAGGGAATCAATCGATGAAACCTGCCAGGATGGGCGGCAGGCTAAGTCTTGCTGGAAAAGCCATGCTGACATCCAGCCTGCATGCTGGCTGTGAGGGTGGTTCCCTGGCATGCCACCAGCCCTGCCTCTCTTCCCACTGGGATGAAGTTGAGGGGACACCCTGCTTCTCACCTCTCTGGGCAGAGAGCTACGTGTGTGCCTGCTGAGGCAGGTGAGTGCCAACAACTGGGCACCCAGAGGAAGTTTAATCCCATAGAAAGTGAAGTGTTGCACAGATTGCCTTGTTGATGGGCACAGGTAGGATGAGCACACAGAGTCCCCTGTTCTCCCTTCAGCAGTGCCCTTCCATGTGCCAAATGTGCCTTCCTTAATCACAGCCCAGCATCTTAATATCCCAGCTCTACTGATGCTCCTGCTTTCTTTTGGGTGAGCGAGTGACTTTCCTTTTGGCTTTTGTGAATGTGAGGCAGCAACTCTTTTTGCTGTTGTTATTTTTTGTGATGTTAGAAATCCACATATGCTGTGCCCCCAAGAGGAAACTTTCAAGGCATACCTGTATGGGATAGAGGGTAAGAGAGAGGGAAAAGAAACAGCAGAAAATCCCTCCACCCCTTAGCCCAGCAGGCAGAGCAGCTAGTGGAGGGTGGGCACAAAGGCAGACACCAAGCACTGCAGGTGGGAGAAGCATCAGAAGACATGGTCAAGCTATTCAGGAATAGTAATTTTCAACCAAAATAGAGGAAGGAGCTGTTTAAACACAGGTCTTTGAAGTTACAGACCTGTTTTCAGAGCTCTGTGAGAGTACCCGTTTTTATGGCTGGAGAGAAAAGGAGGCAGGACATCTTTTGTGGGAAAACTAGCAGCCCTTGCAAGGAGTGTAGATGACGATTTCGGAACCTCTCAGGTGGACATGAGGTGAGGTGCGAGGCTTCTGCAGGAACTGCATGGAACTGGGGAGGGGAATGCCCTTCAGAAAGCCCACGTCGAGTATCTCGCCCTTCGGGAAAGGGTTCCGCTGGCCTGTGGGGACCTCTAGTGTGAGACTTGGCTTCGCACAGGTCTCTGCGGTGGCAGGTGTTTAGGACTGGGGAAGGAAGTGGGATCCAGGGGGAAACGGAGACGGACTCCATGTTTTGTTTTCCTGTCCGCCGCTGTGAAACGGGATCTGGGTGTGCTCAGGGCAGGTGACACGGTGACTGTCGCTCGTGGCTGGGCTGACGTGGCTTGGTGTTACACACAGAGCTGTGCTCATACTTTCTCGCAGCCCTTCCAGATTTAACCTGTAACTCCACTGGTGGGTCAGCTCTGTTATTTTTCTGCCAGGGATCCTTCCTCTTGAAAATGCAGGTGACAACAACATCCCCATTTGTTCTCTAGTACCAGAAGAAGTGATGGGTGCCCACAGTTCTGAATTCTGACACAATCCTAACTCTGACAGTGTCTTATAAGGCATTTTCCACACCTGGTCTGTTCCCAGGGGTCCAGCTCCTAAATGTTGGTGGCTTGGCATCAGCTCCCTCACCAGCCTGTGTTCCTCACCCCAGTGCCCTCCTGCCCTGCTGTCTGTCCATTGGTTTTCCTCAGATGGTCTCCAGCTGGTGGCCAGAGGAGGACAGTCTCTGTCTGCACATAGGTACCTCAGTGCCTTCTCCTGAACATCAGGGCAGAGACCCATGAGCCATGGGGATACCTGGTTTTGGCATGGCTGTGGCAGCTCTCACTGGTGTCTGGGGAGGCTGCAACCAAGACGATCTGCAAGAAAGCTTGCAAGAAAGCTAGTGATGTAGTCAGAAAATCATAATATGCTTTTTCCCATGCTCATGGCTTTGTGCAACTTGCTTTCTCTTCTCTTTGCTTTACAAAATGCATCTTCCTTCCTTTTTTCACTCCTCTCCTCCACCTTGCCTTGTCATCTTCCTGTTACTGCAGTTACTGTTGTGGGATTGTTATACTTTTTCGCTCCCTTTGCCACCTGACAGGAGTGCAATTATTCACCTGTTCTCCACCAGTCTAGTTCCAAAAGTAAGGATAATTAAGGCACTCAGTCATTCAGGCTCACTTTGGCCAGATCCTTCTTGAGACTTCTTTCCGATTTACTTTTAAGAAATATGCATTCAGGAGACAGCTGGTTTTGAAGAAATCACCTGAATCTTTTCTGCAGCCACGGGTCCATGGAGTCTTCAGTGCTAGGAGAGGGGAAAGGAACAGTTAAAATGTCCATGGACAGTGAGGGTCTCCTGAGCAGGTTATATGACCATTTTCCTGAATAAAATACTACCAAATGTGTTTTTTCCCTTATCTGCAAATGCAAGTTCTAATAGAAGCTCAGCCAAAGGTTATTGCCATGTGGTGGTTTTACATGGGGAGAGAAGACTCTTACATAGATCTGTTTGGGGGGAGTTTAATATCTTCTTTAAACAATAGGTTTTGGTTTTTTTTGTTTTTTTTTTTTTGTTTGTTTGTTTGTTTTTTTTGTTTTTTGTTTTTTAACAGTGTTTTCCTAGATGTTTTTACAAAATATTATTTATATATATTATGAAAAAAATGTTATGGACAATGTTCATTAAGCAAAACTGCATCCCAGTGAAAGTCAAAATTGGGATATTTTGACACTGACTCTTGACTAATCAGTTTAATTCTTTTTTAAAGGAGCTTTGCTCCAAACTCCATGAAAGGTTGTTTTTCTGTATGCCTTTCCTTCTTCTCCAGCTGGCTGTGTGGGAGCTGACAGCAGCTAACTGGGGGCCTGTGCAGAAGGTGACTGCCCTAAAGAGGATTTAATAATCAGGCAGGAGGAGGTGCATCAGCACGTGGTGGGGACTCCACTTCCTGAGAGGCCCCACTGTGGCCATGCCTCCATTTGGTGGAAACCCAGGCTTTATCAAGAGCTGGAGGGACCAACCGCCAGCTCTCTCTGGGGACAAGCTGCCATGGAACTGAGGTGTGGGATGAGGACCACCAAGTGCCAGCTGCTGGTGACCAGCCTCTGTGTCATGGTGAGCAGGCAGGTTTGGGGGGATCTCTGCAGAACCGAGGTGAGCTGTTGCCTTTCCCATCCCCACTCTGAGAGGGGATGGTTTTCCCACGTTCTGTTTTTGGCGGGTGGAGGGCAAGCACAGCCAACTGCCTGAGTTATCATTGCACCATGGGCGGTTATCGCTGGCCACCAGCATCCCCCCCCTCCTCTGACAGACTTCTGGTTTCTCAAGGCTGTCACACCACTGCAGCTCTTTCACAACTCAGCAGCTTCCTCCAAGGAGAAAGAAAAGGTCGCTGCTGGCAGAATGGGCGGGAGCAAAAAAGATATTTGCTCCTGTCTCTTTGGAGTAAAAGAGAGAGAATGGACCTGCAGCAGTCATGCTTGCTGCTGGGAGGGTGGTCGACTGCAGGTGGGATCAGTGAGGATATGAAACCACAAGTCTTTGGTGGAAGTGTGTGTGAGAGACATGTGGATCAGCACTGCAAAGCGAAAGCAATTCCAGGGACTCTTTATCAGCTTTTGAAGCAAATTCAAGGGGAGTTTCTGGACATCTGCTGTTAGAGCTGATGGGAAATGGCAGAACCTGGAGAACACGTCTTATGGATGCTTTCACTCGTGTGTTCTTGTTGCCTTTCCACTTCATCAAAACTTGCCAGCATAAAAAATAATAATAATAATAATAGCAGTAATAACAATAATCTGTATTTAGTTCAAGAGGATTGGTGACTTGTTAAGGGTTATTAAAAGGTAATACCTTACTTTGGGCCACAAATGAAGTTTGTAGTTTTTCCAAATTTCAACATTCCAAGACTGCAGTGGCTGTAAGGTGGTTCTCTCTTCCAAATAACAGAAAATGCCACTTGGAGGAAATGAAAGGAGGATTGGTACTAAGCATGTTTAGAGGAGACATTAAGGCACAGCTGCTCAGAATGGTTAGAATCACACTCTCGCTGTTGGGAGGATTTTAGACTGGTGTTTCTCAGAAATCTGAGCTAACTGGTGTTGCACTTAATATTTTGCTGGGTGTGGGTCAAGATACGCAGTAATGCACAGTCTGAGTGATCAGAAGGTGCCACAAATTAGGCTAGACAAAATGCTATGTTTTGAATGGATTTAGTCTCTGAGACTGTAAGCCTCCAGCAAAAGCTATTAGAAAATGTCACACAGTGAGGATTATGTTGAGATCACATTGTCACATTTGACACAGGTATAGCTCCCTCATGTTTCTGTATTGTAAAGGCACAAAATGATGAAGCCTTATCTTCAGAGCTAGGAGTAGCCTTACATTTTGTATTTTCCAGGCTCATTGCACTAGATTTGGAGTTCATTTTGCTGCTGGTGCCTTTGTCCCAGCTCTGCCACCAGCTATAGAGCCAGGTGCCATCAGAAATGTTCCCTCTCCATCACCTGGAGAGGTATGGACATGCAAGTAGTTACCACATGCCTTACGCATACAGGTGCTCTCAGGGCTGGGACAGAAACAGACAATACCTTGCAGAGACAGAAACCACCACAGACAACTTAGAGTAGTACAGGACTCAGATCTCTGTGCTCTGCCATAGGAAACAGAGCCAACAGCAGGCAGTGAGACTGGCATTGCAAAGAGCAGAACAGAGAACTTGACCCCTGCTCAAAACCCCTCTTGTAGCTGGCAGCCCTCACAGCCACACATGCACAGTCTGCAGAGTATGTGGCACTGCACAGGTGTGCCGCAAGAACATCAATCCTCTCAGTTTTCTTCATATGATGGGAATTTAATCCATAGGCACTGGCCAAGAGATTGTGGGCTGCACAATGTTACATGCACTCATTATGCAAGAGAGAAAAACAGCTTTAGTATTTTTAAGTGTCTGGGGTTTGTCCTTTTATGTGCATTTTTGGGGTACATGTGGTGGTCTCTGGATGATGAGGCTGTCTGCATTTGCATGGGGCTCAGGAGTATCCAGATACACCTAAAACCTTTGTGTGCACCCAGCAAGAGCTGTTGCCTTGTAAATCCCTTCCTGAAACCCTTCTTTTCCAGCTGCTGGGGCTCTCCATTGCCACGCTGAGCACAGTCACCCACTATGGGCTCCGTTTCACCCTCATTAGCAATGTCTCCCTGGACAGCAACACCTACAAGGTCATCCACCACACAGGTATGTTGTGGTCACATCGCAGTGAGACCTTTGGTGATACCCAGCGCTGCAAAATTCCTTAAAGCTATAGAAGAAAATTCAGGAGTATCTCAAGAGGAGGAAGGAGCTGGGTTTTGGAGGATGCATTAGGACTAACACAGTCCCACAGGCACTTTCTTTCCCCATATCAGACCTGCATGCCTGTAACCAAAGGATGCTGTGTGTGCATGGGGTGTTCAGGTGCTTCTGTGTTTGCACCTGTTCCTCTATTCTCTGACCCTGTGCTGTGGTAAGAGCTCAGGAGGAGCTCCTCAGTCACTAAAAGTGCACTAGGGCTGGCAGAAGACTGGAAGAACAAGGAGAGGAACTACAGGAGTTGAAGCAGAACATAGAAAATTGAGGCTGGGAGGAGAAATGCATGGCGGCAGCAGCACCTCAAGCTTTTCTGTGGAAATGTGCGGTATTTTTGCTTTCACAAGGGAGAAGTATAAACTGAGTCTCAGGTACAAGGCTAGAGCAAAGATAGCCCAGATACTAAAATACCCTGCTCACCACTGCTGCACTTGCATCTGCTGCTTCTCCCGAGCTGCACTCTGGTCTTAAACGTGCTCATACCCTCTCAAGATCCAGTTCTTAATTTCAGTTTAATAAGGCAGGTGTAAAAACTGTGTTGGTCCAAGGCTAAGGTATATTCCCTGTTCCTACACATACATATTGCCACTGACTGCAGCCTTGCAGGCTCTCCCACCCGAGCCACCCATCACCAGCAATGCCTTGTTTACAGGCATTACCTCTGTGTGGTTAGGCTAGCAAAGCCCTTTGCAGTGCTGTGGTCCCTGAGCCCCGCTCCAGGGTACTGGCTGTGAGATCCTGCCTGAGCCAGGAGGAAACCAGAGGGTGAGTGTTGCACCAGATTAGCAGTGCCCGGAGTCCTGATAGAGGCTGTGGGACAGCTGCTGCACACCAGCACCCCCCATTTGGGGGGATCCTTATCAGAATGCTGAAGTAATTGGAAGCTTCTGGTCTGTTGGGTGGACCAACACCATTTTAGGCTGCTTCACTCTGCTGGAGCTGTGAGAACCACTCAGAGGCTTACAGCCTTGCCAGACATACAGAGCAAAGCACACACAGACGGGGGGGTATTGAATGAATTACAGAAAAATTTCAGTTTTGCAACCTGGTCATTTGGGGCCAGCTCCCCAAAATGCACTTTTTGGCCCCTCTCTGGGTCAAGCATCAGACTAGGCCTCTGGCATCTGACCACAACTCCCATGTCTGTCTTCCAGCTTTCTACTTCGGGATCTGCCTGAGCATGACCCTGATCCTGGCAGCCCTGCTGAGCTCTGCCGCCACGGTGCGGGAATCGCAGTGCCTCACTGCCATGGTGCGTATCCATACCTGCAGGGACTGCCTGGGAGAGGCTTTCTGTCACCTGGAGCTGGCCCCCCTATCGTGCATTGCTGGGTCTGCGCTGCCTTATCCCTGGGAGAATGCATGCCTGGGGAAGGAGGTCCTGTTGTTCCACCTTGTGCTGCAAGGGGACATTTTTGAAAAAGCATCACCTTGCAGAGCTCTTAGGGCTGAGGATTGCATCATTCTGTGCTTAGTTTCTTTTGCCAAGGTCCTGTGTATGCAGTTTTCAGAGGGAAGGTGTTTATCTGCCAAGCAACTATGGTGATGACAATTCCCAGGGTATTTTTTTTCTCCTCATCAAGTCAACATGTGGTTTGTTGTGAGGAAACCTTAGCAGTGTGATTTTGAGTCTCACATGTTTCCCCTGAATTGTGACAGAAAAATTAGCCCCTCTTTTTCCCATCTCACCCAAACATTCATACAAAGCATGACAGCAGGCATGGGGGATTTGGGCAGGACCCTGAACTTCAGCCTACAAGTAGAGGGTGGAGAAGCAGCATAAGAGTTGAAATCCCCCCTTTCTGCTCTCCATCAGCCTGTTTGGGCCTGGATCATGTTGACAGTAGTAAACTGCACTGTGAGATAAGCTCCATTTCAAAACAGAGCCTGCATGTGGGGCTTAGCCTGCACAGAGCAGCTTCCAGCCTTGGAGCTAGAGGGATGAGTGGTAAAATGCTGCTCACTGTGTGTTTTCCCATATGAAGGGCAGGAGTTAACAGGTAGGTTGTTGAGCATGAAATCCTGCTTAATATAAAATAATTGCATTGCTGTCATACACTAACTTTAAAGAGATTTATCTAATCTGTGTAATTGGGGGAAATGATACTGATGGCAGAAATGCAAAGCTGACACCTGAAAATTCAGTGCAAAGCAGCCACTGAAATTAATGTTTTCACCTTCTCAATACACCATCTTCCTTTCTCTGTTTGAGATGCCCAAAGGGGCCTCAGTTCCCATGAATTAAGCAGAATGTGTAACTCCCCTCTCTTTTGCTGAAGTGTCTTTAATGTGTGCCTGCAATTACCACATCTAAACCAACAGATGGGTATGTACAGATCAGTGGAGAATGTTATGGCTGCCTGAAGATACAGTCAAACTTCTCTATAATGTTTATTTGTTGCCTTACTCCCTGGTATGGTTTGGAGCATGCCACTCCATAGAACAGGCTGTTAAAAAGAGTGCCAGCACATACTGAGTGAACTCCAGAGCTCTGTCCAAAGAGCATTGTCCAAGGGCCACAAGGTGCTGCTCTCCCTTCCCATTTTAACATGGGTGATCCTTTTCTCCAGCCGCCCATCATCTCTCACAGCCTGGTTGGTTTGGGATATCACAGGCAAGCTTTGCCTGCCAAAGTAACCTATGGTTGGCAGAACCCTCAAACTGGCTATTTATTTTTGTGGCTCCTAGTGCACCCTGTTGGCTTGTCTTTAGCTTCCCAGTGTTGCTCCTCTGGGGGATGTGGCCGTCTGCATTCTGGCCCCTGATTGCACGTTTGTAGGGCAGTCACGGTATCGCTGCCTTGCGGGGGGCAGAGGAAAGGTGCGAGGTGCCTTCCCCGCAGCTCTGGCGACGAGGCTTCATGCCACGCTGCTCTCAGCAGGGATAACGGGATGCCCCTTGGCTGTCTTTAAGCTCGGTTTCCGCCGCCTCCGTGCCGAGCCGCGGGCAGGAGGCGAGCGGGCCGCCGGCAGCCGCGCGGGGCCGCTCCAGCGCCGCGCTCCGCCGCGGGAGGGACCGGGGGCCCGCCGCCGCCTGCCCGCTCCCGCTGCCTGCCTGCCCCCCCCGGGCATGCCGCGGAACGGGAGCGGCCTCCGTGAGCCCTGCAGCCTGGTGGCACGTCCCCGGCCCTCGGGAATTAACGGGAACCCTGGGAGGCGCTCCAGAGCTGGCCAGTAGCAAGGGCATTCTCGGCTCCAAGCCGTTGAAGGAGCTCATCGGCGTCTTGAGTCACACAGTGGGGACTTCGCCTGTTATAAATCGCCTCTCCCCTCCCAGCCGTATCGCTCACCAAGGGCCAGCTGCTTGTGTTGCCCCCAGTTCCCACTCCAAAGGCACTCATTTAATCATAGATCTGCCAGCAAGAAGCGACAGCAGGGAGAGCCAGCCCTGACGGCTGCAGTGAGGTGTAATCGCAGGCAGCAGTGGGGTTTGGCCCTGTGGAGCTCCAAAACTGCTCGGTGTGTTGTCCAGCCCTGATCCCTGCTGTGCTGTAGCTCACAGCAGCGATCGGCCTTGCTGCTTGGAGCTTTTTTCCTCCTTCTGCAAGAGAGAGAATCATCTTCCCCCGCTATTGATTTTAAAGGACTTTTCCTCCTGCATAGAGTGTGTTTTATTTAGAAGACCATTTAATTCACTCTTTAATCAAAGAGGGAAGACACCAGACTATTTGCCTGACATCTGTGGCTGTTCAGGAAACCAAGCCGTGCATCGGGGGATGTCTGCATCGATGTGGCTGGTCCACCACAATGCCACTTGGTAAACCAGCCACCCTGAGGAAAAACTGACAAGGATCCAGATTGGGCTTACAGGAGCTTTTTTTTTTTTTTTTTTTTTTTTTTTTTTTTTTTTTTTTTTTGGTCTGTTTGGATTATTTGTCGTCATGCTGCCTGGTTATCTGGAGGTTTGTGTGCCTACAGAGGAGGAGTCTCTGGTCTTTGCAGGCCTTGCTGGTGGTGTTCTAATAATAGTAATGGGTGCACAGTGGTTAGAAACCAGGACAGGTCAAACTGGTTTAAGCACACAGGTCTCAGGAGATTGTCTTCTAGCTGCATTAGCAGCATCATGAGACCAGACAGATGCTACTGTGCATCCAGTGCTGCTTGTGAAGGAGCTGGTTCCAAGAAAGTAATTGAGAACTTAAGGATAAAAAATTATATGCCAAAATCCAGCAGTATTACACCTAAAGCTCCTCTTAAACAGGGAGAATAGCAACAGGCTTATTGATTGTCCTCCAGCTCAGGCAAACTCTGCTTTCTGGTGATCCATGGCCCATCATGCAGTCAATCCTGAATGTAAATATCCTGCAGCTTTATAGCCCTTGGAGGCCGTGTTGCTATTGAAGGGAAGGAAAAGGAAGGAAAGCAGCAGTTTTCCTGTTTGCATAAAGGAAAGACTCTGGTATCAGTGAGGTTTAAAGCACCATGTATTGTTACCTGGTCAGACTGATAAAGAGAAAGAAAAGAAAAAAAAACAAGGAGCAACATAGCTGAAATTCACACATCTCAACTTTACAGTCTGAAACCTGACTTGTACAGGGGAACATTTGTGATCAGGATGGAGCAGATGTTCCCAAAAAATGCAGTGGAAAAAGCCTCAGTGAATGCCCAATATAACCTGGTTTTTGATCAAGATTGATGAGCTAGTAGGGGCAGCACACAGCACAGGCTGTTTGCTTTATTATATACCCAGGTGTAGGCCAGTGTGTAGAGGGCCCTTAATGCCACTGCAGCACACTTCAGCCTCTTCCTTTCTAATTTAATCTGCCTTGGGTGCTCTCTCTCATGGTGCAGCACTTCTGGGTGAGGCATCTGTGTGTCAGTGGCAGAGCTGGTACCAAGGACAGATTCCTCTTTCGGACTGATGTCACTGACTCGTGTTTGCTCTGTGGAAGGGCAAAAACATTGCTTGCTTTTAGATGTACTAGGTCAGGCAGAGAGGGACACAACCTGATGGATGCCATCTGAAGTTTGGCCCCCCTTCCCCTGCCCTTGGGCTCTGCAGTGTGGCAGGGAGTTGGCCTTTGCAATGACCACAGCAGCACCAAAACACAGCTGGAGCAGAGCAGGGCAGAGGTCTGCTCCTTCCCTGGAAGTGTGGGAGCTTGGCAGGACACAGCTACAGAGCACAGCATGAGCTAAAGGATCCCTCCCTCATCCAAAGCAGGCCCCCTTCACCAAAGGGGAAGCATCAGAAAGGTGAATTAAAAGAAGCACCAGCCAACAGACAGGGTGCTGTTCCTATGGATTCTGCCAAGTCTGTCAAAGAGAAATTGTTCCTTGCAGCAAGGATGGAAGCAATGTCATTCATAAAAGAGTAATTGATGTGTGCCTGGTGACAGCCCTCCACAGGGCTGATGTGGCTGTCTCTTGCAAAGGAAGCAGGCAGCAGCCTGTGGCTGGCTCCGAGGAGCTCCAAGGGTCTGGGAGATGGTGAACCAGCCTCAACCCTTCCACATTTTGTATGCTAACTGCACGTTGCCTTTTTCTTTTTTCTTCCAAATGTCTTCTAATGTAATTAGAAAGTTGCTCTTCCAAAAGCCTTTTGGCTGGGAAGGGAAAAAGCAGGCTATAATTCATTTATAAGATGTTCTCGGAGCCATGTAATTGCTGTGCACCAGCTGGATGGAGGGGGAGCTTCCCAAGGGGCTGCATCTTAGTGTTCCCAGAGAAACCAGACAGAAATAAAGGGAGAGCTGATGCTGAAGGACTGAGATGTGGGGTGGAGCTGAGGAAGGGAAGATGAGAAGGAGGATTTTTATCTGCTGTAGGTGCTGGCCCCAGAGAGATGTTGTGAGTGCTGGAGCTGGTGGGGAAGGAAGGGAGAGTACAGGGGAAGGAATCTGGGTTGTCACTGGCATCCTGTTGTTCACGCTCTCCGGGTTCATGGTGGGTCACCTGAATTATAACTTTAGTGGAATGATATGTGGAAGAGTGGTCACAATTGCTATCAGTGCTGGTTTTTCCATCTGACTAATTTTCTTTTTTTAAAAATTTTCTTGTCTTTGAACTTGATTTTGGTGAAAATGCTGTTTGTTTGGTGGGGAAGCTGTTGGAGGCAGTGCAAAATGCAGGGTCTGGTCCTACTGAGGGGCATCCTAACATGCCTGTGTAACTTCATCTCCTCCCTCCAGTTTGTGCTGTACCTGCAGGGTTGAACCCTCCACTTCAGCACTCCAGCTGGGTTTTGGTCTGAGATATCTTGCCCTGCACACTCTTCCATATCTTCGTGACTTGTAACCACCTTGTCACGTCAGTGTTTGATCAGACTTTTCCTCTCATCTCCTTTAGGGTCTTGGGTAATCTCATTTTAGCTCCTAGCAAGGCAAGGAGTGATCTCATCAGCTATATGGCCAGGCAGCTGCCAAAAAAATAAATGAAAGGAGAGACTGGACATGCATAATTTAAAATTTTTCGTAAGAGCTGTACCAGGGTTTTCCCCAGTGTCTGAGGCAGAGCCTGAAACAAGGCAGCCCCAAAAAAGTGGTGAATACCAGTGGCAGTCTTGTTCCAGGAGCAAAGTCCCCAGGCAGGGCAGAGAAACAGAGCAGATGGACAAGAGCCAGCCAAGGATTTTACTGGCACATTCACTTTCATTTCCAGGATTTGAAGTAACACATTTTCCTTTCTTGCTGCTTATGCATGAGTTTGGAGCCTTTTTTTTTTTAACTATATCTTTTAAGCAATTTTTTTTTTTTTGTGAAGAACTGGTAGAAGCAATGTTCTTCCTCTCTTAAGCTTGAATTTGGTAAAATTTCATGAAAGATTTAAACTTTTCCAAGTTATTTCAACTATATCATACAATGAAAACAGTCATAGAAAAAATTAGAAACCAAAATAAGATGCAGTCAGCTGGGTAAGTTTCCCACATAATATTGTGTTGAAAGAGGCACAGTTTAATGGAAAAACTTGTAAGGGCATTAATTTTCAACCGATGCTTATTCATCACCTTTTGTCATTCCAAGACTAAGCTGTGGATTCATATTGGATGAGCCCATTTAGCCTTCAAACACTTTACAGGCACTTTTCCCTTCCTTTTTTTTCTTTTAAATGTGAACAAGATCATTTGGTCCAGCTGTCACAGCAGGCGAGTGCTTTTTATATCAGGGTGTGTGGTTTTTGGTCCAGATTTGTTCAAATAAAAACACAAAGCATGTAACTTCCAGCTCTGCAAGCCTAAGGAAGAAGACAAAATTCAGGCCATGTCCTGCATCGTTGCTGTTATTGTTTAGACACTTCAGGGTCAGTTTCTGGCCTTGATTATATTTCTGTCATCCTGTTGTCTAACTAGGATGGTGCTGATCTAAGGAAAGCAGCTCGGCCGTGCAGCTGCCACCTTGCTCACAGGGTAAGCCCAGCTCTTCTTCCAGAGCAGGTTGATTTCTATCTCTGTCCCAGTTATTCCCTTCTTTATGGACTATTTGTATGGGTTTTCCCCTCTTTGAAGCCAATAGCCAAGTTTTAAATGCAGGGGATTGAATCCCATGATTATGGAGCACAGTCCTGCAGCAGAAGGGAAGCATACTGTAAATATAATGTTTTGTACCTTTCTTTGTCCAAGAGGAATCTGGGCAGAATAGATTAACTGCTCTGCAGGAAGCTGCCTGGTTTTTTGGTCAAACTCTTCAATTTGCCACAGTGTAATTAGAGGGCTCCTGATGGAGAACATTATTGTCCATCTAATTTCTTTTAAGTAACTGACATTATGAGGGATATTAAAAGAAGGTGATGTTTAAACTTTAATGAAACTTGCTTAAACAAGCATATTAAATATGTCGTGATTGTGTTTGCAAATGGGTATTTTTCTCCCCAGACTGTAACTGTTGGTATTTTTCCTTTTTATCCTCAGGGATTTTTCTGTTTTGCTCTGGCCTTTTGTGGATTGATCCCAGCTGCCTGCTGGAGATACACACACAGCACGGAGGTAAGTGTTGGCTGCTAGGAAATACCACCAGCATCTCATCAGAGATTTTTTTCATAGCAAATATTCTTCCCATGAAAGGGACATCTGGTGTTAATTAAGCCATCCATATTGAGGTCTATCAGATCCATGCTCTGTTGCATCCGTCCTTTGGAAGAACAGGGTCACCTTCATCAGATACCTCTTCAATGGGATCATCTGAAGGGAGAAGCCCATGGAAAATCTAATAGGGTAAATGCTTTGTGCTGAAGGCAAAACAAAATGCAAGTCTCCTTAGCTGTGAGAATTTTTTTTTCAGGGGATGTTTGCTTTGTTTTGTTTTGTTTTAAATGAGATGCTTGACTTTTGAAAAGTCATTTCCAGCTGGTTCTAATTCCTGCTAACATCAATTGGGAGCCTCTATTTGAAGGCAGTGGCCAGGAGAAGCACCCAGATGTGTTTATTAGCATGCAGAAGTGGTACATGAAAAACACAAGAAAATGGTGTTTTGGGTCACTACAAAGCTCGACCAGAAAGAGATTATAGGAGGCTGAATTTGGAAGAAAGTTGGGGTTTGAATTTTTAACTCAGAGCTTCCTGGTGCTGGGGTAGATGGGTGATGTGGGATATGCAAGGTGCTGGGTAAGTTGGTCTTTATTCCTCTTTTTGCATCCCTGCACTCAAAAAATACAAAATTTAAGAGAATTGGCAGTGGAAAAAAATCATGACATCTTTCTTTTGAAAGCAGAACACTGGTATTTTTGGCAAGTACCTAAATAATTCAGAGAAGTGCTTGGGACTTTGATAGGTGCTTCATGAAGTAGCTCAGTCCTTGTCTTTATTTTACTCCTCCCCCAGCCCTGGGCATAACCTGCCTTGTTCTGGGTACCAATGAGGATGTATTGTGAAACATCATCCCAGTGAATTAGGAATTGATGCTGCTAGCTCATCTTTTTATGGTTACATATACTGGGGATGATCAAAGACCAGTCTGAAGTGTCTGGCCTTGAGATTTCCTTCTGTGATGGAAGAGCAGGCCTTGAGGTTTCCTTCTGTGGTGGAGGAGCACAACTCCATCAAAATCCCACTCAGTCCACACTAGGACTATGGCAATTGCTTTTGCAGGCACAAGGAGCCCTACACTGAAATGGTTCGGTGTCTTGTGCATAAACTAAAACCCAGTCTTTCTGAAAGTAGAAGTCAAGGTTAGGGTGAAGGATAAGGTCCTGCTTCTCTAGAAAGTTTTCCCAGAGCTGGCCAGTGCCCAAAGTAGTTGAAAATCCTTTGAAATGTGCAGGTGGCTATACTGGACCAGGCTAAAATTGTTGGCCAAGGTAGGAGCTGTTGGGCAAGGAGATTTTTGGCTGACCTGCTGTTAGCCAAGGTAGCAGCATTAAAACCCATCAAACACAAAGCAATGTTTTTTCAGATGCCAGCAGCTTGTGGCCCAGGTGTCTGCTAGTGGCAACTGCTGGTGCCTTTGCCTTTAATGTTCTCCCTGGGTTTTTCCTCTGTGAATTTGTCCAACTGCTTTGGAAACAAGTGAGTGCTGATGGCATAACAGCATCTTTTATCTCTGTGCTTAACTGGCTGAAGTGGAATCAATCAGAGCTGAGGCATCCATGAAAAAATGTCTTTCCACAGCCTCTTTATTGTTTTTCCTTATTGTTTCAGGCAAAACTATCAACATTTATTACATTCCCACTAACAGTTTAATATGGAAATAATTTGGTTTTCATGACCAACACAGAAGGGAGCACACTTTCCTTCTCCTTCTGCAGACATTAAATTGTAGATTGAAGCACAGGCCGTGTCAGTAAAGGAGAAATGGCACTAGAAACTGTCTGGTTGGCATTGTCAGATTGTGTTTTCTAAACAGACTATTTAGTTTTACTGTTAATCCACATACATGGTGTAGGGCATAAAAAGACTGCAATAAAAAGGTTGTATGTTGGGTTATGTAATACAGGGATGTGCCATGCAAAAAATATTTTGCTGAAGATATTTAAAGGAGTATTGCTTTGTATATCTCTTGATCAGTACATCTGTTTTTACTTCAAATTATTTTCATGTGTTTTTTTTTCTCTGAGTGCCCTGTCCACAAATGCACCCATGGTTATGGTTAGCTTTGGTAATTGGTTGGGTTTCTGTAAGCAAAACAGCTTCCACTAGGCAAAATTAGGTGGTTTTGTAAAAGGCTGACTTTCTGAGCAAAGAAAATCAGCAGTGTTTCTGACAACAGAAAAAAAATACCCTTAGAGACCATCTTGTGTTTCTCTGCTTCCTAAAATCCAAGGAAAAGCAGGGAATGTAAATGAGGAAGATTTAATTAGAAGTGTCACTTACAGAACATGTGGAAATTTAGTTTCAACTGAAAAGTAACTTGTCTCACTAGAGAGAGAAATGCAGATGTGAGAGAAAAATACAGGTGACTGAAAGAAATGCAGATGTGTCTGCCCTTCCAGGACAGGAACACAGTGATACAGAAAATTGAATGAAGTAGGGATAAGACCTCTGAAGTCTCATTATAGAGCTGTTTGTTTGCTTGTCTTTCTCAAAAGAAAGAACAAAATTCAAGCAGGTGTCCTCTGCTGCCTACTGCATGTCAGTACTCTCAAAAATAGTTAATTGTGGCAATCTGGGGGGGAGAATCAATCTCAGCCAAGTGGGTGGGTGTCTTGTAAGCCTGATGGGATATACAAAGCTATCAAGAAAGGAATGGAACTGAGGATGTAAAACTGAATATGGATGAATATGGCCATTACATGTGCCTGAATCACTAAGAGCACTGAGGGGTACTGCCCCCACGTTCATGGCTAGAAAAAAATTGTCAACTTTTCCTATGAAAAATACATTGATTTTTCAGTGGAATGCCAGACAGAAAATTAGGCTGTTCATTTTGGAAATGCCAGCTGGGAGCTGGTGTCAGTAGTTCCTGTCCTCTCCCTCCCTGCTGGCAAGGTTCTGAACACAAGCAGCATTGAAAACAGTCCTCCCCTCCCTTTGCAAGCTGGGGATGGGAGGCCTCCCCTGCACTGATCCATGGCAGATGCTTCACTGGTTTACTCCTGTTGGTAAAAAAAAGATTAATAAAACCCCTACATTTTCTTCATAAAGCAGAACCCTCTCACAGAAAATCTTCTGAAAAAGTAAACCCCACTACTCAGTTGAAAAATTGTTTTCATGGTTATTGTCAAGAGACAATAGGTAGAAATGTAGTTAGAATATGATGAAAACAAGATGCCCTTTTTGCCTGTGTGGCTCTTTTAGGGCCTCTTTTCCAGGACTTCCTACAGAGAAGCTGGGCAGGGAGAAAGGAAGAGTTATTTGTAAATATTTGGTATTCTCAGACCTGGGCACTGTAAACAAAACAAATCGTCTCATTTCCCTTTCTTTTCTGCTTTCATGACTTACTGTAGCTTCTGGATTAATTCTTTCAGACAGATGTTGAATGTTTTAATTTCAAGTTATCCGCATTCCAGATGGACTTGATGTCACCATAGTCTGTTTTCTTGTGATGTATGCCAGACATGCAACAGTCATGAACCTGAGATTTATCATGCTTTCTCCTAAAAGGTTGCATCCTAGTTGTTCCTCCTCTCAGTGGGAGAGGTGGCCTTGGTAGGGAAGTGTTGCAAACCTGTCTGAGGAAGGACAGTGGCGCAATCAAAGCGAACAAGAGACCGACGTGCATGGGAGGGCAGAGGGGATGGGATGACCTCTGTGCAAGGTCTTTGCTGGAACTGCTGTGGTAACCACAGAAATCATGAGGTTTTCAGATGGTTTTCAACCACATTAGGAAGTCCTGGTTGCTGAAGCCGAAGAGCTGAGTCTTGTTTTTTCAAAGTTATTTTTATGGCAGTTCCTTTGCCACAAACTGCTGTCTGTTTAAGTGAGGTCCCTCTGTCATTCACAGCATGGGCAAAAAGAGCAGGGATGTGGAATGCAGAGAGAGATGTAGGAATGCAGAGAGACATGCCACGTCTAGCACAGCTAGTGGGGAGGGCTGCTGCTTCCTCCTCCTGCTCCCCAGCTTCCTTTCTCTCCTCACCCACAAACTGCTGGTTTAGAAACCTGTCTGCAGAGGCTGGAGCAAAGCTGTACTTGCAGCTGCCATAGAGGAGATTTGGTACCCTTACTAACCAACACAAAACCAGAATCATAAAGGTTGGAAAAGACTTTAAGATCATTGAGTCCAACCTTTGGCTGTCAACTAGACCAGAGCACTTAGTGCCATGTCCAGTTATTTCTTGAACACTTCCAGGGACAGTGACTCCACCACCTCCCTGGGCAGCCCATTCCAATGCCTGACCACCCCTTCAGTGAAGAAATTCTTCCTGATGTCCAACCTGAACCTGGAACAGCTTGAGGCTCTTATGCTGTCACTTGTTGCCTAAGAGATGAGACAAACCCCCACCACACTACAAGCTCCTTTCAGGTAGTTGCAGAGAGCAATAAGGTTTCCCCTGAGCCTCCTTTTCTCCAGGCTAAACTACCCCCAGCTCACTCTCACTGGATTTCCTCTGCAGACCCTTCACCAGCTCCATTGCCTTTCTCTGGACATGCTCCAGTACTTCAATGTCTTTCTTGTAGTGAGTGGCCCAGCACTGGGCACAGCCATCCAGGTGTGGTCCCAGCAGCACCCAGTACAGAGGGACAATCGCTGCCCTAGCCCTGCTGGCCACACTATTTTTAATACAGGCCAGGATGCCCTAGGCCTTCTTGGCCACCTGGGCACTGCTGGCTCATTGTCAGCTCTTACCCAGCACCCCCAGGTCCTTTTCCACTGGGCCCCTTTCCAGGCACTGTTACCTAAGCCTGTAGTGCTGCATGAGGTTGTTGACCTCACTTGACCAAAGTGCAGGACCTGGCACTTGGTCTTGCTGAACCTGAGGTTTGGGGTTATGTTCTGGGCCCTGCTGTGAAAGAGGCCAGAGGAGTTTCTATTCCACATCAACTTCTGCTGTTCCCTTTCTCTGCAGCAGCTTCTTCCAGGAACCCTGTGGCCCTGGCCAGATAAGCCA